TGATGGTCCAAAATCGATAAGAGTAGGCTTCGGCCGCCATCTGGGCAAAATTCAAAGTTCCTACCTTAACTGAAAATGTTTAATGTGTCTCGCACGTTCATATGACTTTATGCAGTTGCGAGCGTTGTAAAACACTTACTAAAACTAAAAAGCACACACACACATACACACACACACACACACACACACACACACACACACACACACACACGCGCGCGCGCGCGCGCGCGCGCACACACGCACACAATATTAATATTCCCGCTATTATAAAAGTCGCCTGAGATATTGTCGCTCAAAATCAAAATTAATATTAAAAAATCAGAGTTGGCAAAATTGTGTAAAATTTAAAATCAGCAACAAACTGTGTTTGCGCCTGTATTCAGATGCATCAACATTGGTGGAATGGACGTGAATTGATATCATAATAATATATCACATGAATGGAGAATATTATTATCTCTGCAATGAAAGAATATATTATTACAATATTTTCAATGAGATTGGAAAACAGAGTTGTCACATATTCCATGCAAAACATGGACTAACATTAAAAATGTCCTTTAGTATGTTATTTAGGAGCCATTGCTTTAGTGTTGTGCACGAATCTTTTTTGCACATGGACTCTCGAAGTCAGATTTTCTACATAATCACATGTCAGTGAGGGATGTGTATTATCACTTTTCCTTTTCATATTTTCAGCCGACTGGCTGATAAAGGAAACCACCAGAAGACACAGAAATGATGGTATACAGTGGACCTCATGGACACAGTTGGACGATCTGGATTTTGCGGACGACTTGGCGCTTTTGTCGCACACCCAGGAACAGATGTAAGCAAAAACGTCAATATCAAACAGCTTATCAGAGTCTGTTGGATTAAGATTCCACACTGGAAAGTCAAAGGTCCTAAGGATAGATGCACAACGAAAGGAGCAGGTCACAATAGAAGGAAATGCACTAGAAAATGTTGAGTCCTTTCGCTATCTTGGGAGTATAATTGCAGAGATGGGGGGAACAGGTGCGGAAATAAAGTCCCGCATTGGAAAAGAACAGACTGCTTTCATAATCTCTGAATAGGGTTTGGAAGACCAGAGATATCTCGCTTCGAAAAAAGCTGATGATCTTCAATTCGAAAGTGAAATAAATCCTGTTGCATAGATGTTAGACATGGAACGCATCACAGACTTGCATAAAAAGGATCCAGGTTTTCTTGAACAAGTGTCTATAAGAAAGTTAATAATAAATAATAATAATAGATAGCATTTGTATAACGCAAATCCCTGCTCAACAGCAAGCTCTATGCGTTTCACAATCTATACTATTACCCCAGCAGACTTGAGTGCATCCTGAAACAACCTCAACTTCGTGGGAAGCATACAGAGCAAGCAGCCATTTATAGGCCCTTTCGCTGTCAATGGCCGGGTACCCATTACCGCCTGGGTGAAGTGAGGAAAATTCGTGTAAAGTGCCTTTCCCAAAGACACAACGTCGGGCCCGCTGCTCGAACCCCCGAACCCGCAACCTCACGATTACGAGTCCGGTAGCCTAATCACTAGGCCACTGACGCACTGAGTTACTGAGGATCAGATGGACAGACAGGGTCACCAACGAGGAAGTGTTAAAGAAATCAAGACAGATCCCAGTCAGAGAAAAAGTAGGAAGAAGGCGGTGGCGATGGATTGGACATACTCTCAGGAAGTCAGGCAACGGCATAACAAAAAAGTGTTTGGTTGGAATCCACAGGGTAAAAGATAAAGGGGAAGACCGCGTGAAACCTAAAGAAGTCATTCTGGAAACAGTGCGCAAGGCTAGTGAACGGGAACTTCACTTGTTTACAATGGCTTCTAAGAAGACAGACTTTCCCAACATTAAATCTAAACGAAACTAAACAAAAACTGAAAATTCAACTACAGTGACTTCAGACTCCTCAATAAAACTGTGCACCCTTTAAATGATTCTGAACCATCGTTATTTTTTTCAGATTC